TAGCACACTCTTACTTTTGATGGACAGGAGTGTGATTCACTGCTCGCGGTGTCACTAAATGGATTCTGTGAGCTTTTGTTTAAATGTCACCCTGGTTAATATTTCAAAAATCATGCATATATTAAAGACAGGAGGATTCTGGTTAAAAAATCAAAGGCAGGAGGATGATTTATCTTGCTTGGGTAGACCAATTGGAATTTTTAGACTTATCAGTTACATTATTTGGTATAAGATTAGAGGGCTTCTAGATTTTTGCACAATATGATGGAAGCAATAATTTCAGTTTGACAAAAAGCTGTATTTGTTTTTGTCATCTTTCTGTTTAATGTTAGATCTTTCTTTTGTAGGATGCTTTTGCTGGCACCCCATGTATTATAATAGCTGGATTTATGTGGATTGTTAAATGGGTTATCTAATATATTATTTTGTATTTAATAGATTTTCTTGTTGCTGTTACTAAGTTGTCTCAGTCTTCAGAAAATCCAATTATTCGAAGTCACTATCTCAAGCGTGCTTGTTTATGTATGGAAAATCCAGTTATTCAAAGTCATTATCTCGAGCGCGATTGTTTATGTATCTATTCTAAACTTTCATTCTGCGAGAGGTGGCTGTTATGGTCATCCTGATATTATGATCATAAAATTAGATGATTATTTGTTAGTTACATTATTCAGTGCACATGGAGGTTTATAGTGGTGGGTTTTCTAAACTGTAGCTTTGGTCCTGCTATCCTGCCCTGCTGGGTTGACTTAGTGAACTGAACTGCCTAGTCATAACCTTTGTGCAACCAGGTACTGACCCCCTTGTCCTCGAATTCAGGGGCCATCCATATTTACTCCCAACTCGCTAGGGTGATCTCACCTAGTAAGATAGGGCTTAGCCAAAAAGTTGTATAAAGGGGTAAGGATAGTTGATTCAGCAAATATATAGTCAGTTTGCTCTTGTTCCCTTGTGCAAAACCAAAGGGGGACGGACTAGTGCCCTTATTTGTTCTAAACCATGCACATGTAGACTTCTTCTGCTGTTCTTACTATCCTATCTTCATTTACCCTTAAAGGAAGAAAGCAAAAGAGCTTATTTGCTATTATTAAATATATACTATTAGAAAACTATATTCACTAGGTACTTGATTCACGAAACTCCTGTTGCCAGATCTCACTGCACTGAAAGCTCATATCTAATACAATCTATTTTGCCTGCAGTTTTTACAAAACCAATAGAAAGAGCAATCTCATTCCTCATTTCTCTTTCTAGATAGCCATCTTGGGGCTTGCAGACAATGAAAGTGTTAAAGCATCTAACTCAAAACCAAATGAGTGGAGGCTTTTTAAAGCATATAAACTTACCTTTGCTAGTCCTAATCATTCGATGTCGGATACAAATTCTCTTTACACCCTCTCTCATATAGGAGTCGGGATCACACGTAGGGCTAACGAACAAACATATGTAATGAAAAAATTCAAAACATTGGGTAGTCCTCAGTATTCAATATGGGAGTTAAGCTCTCTTTACAGAAAAAGAATTCAAGCTGGGCCTCTAAGGTAACACAGTCAGACAACAAATCAATAAGAAAGGAAGCAAATGAATCTTCATAACCTTGTGCTTAAGTCAACGTATTCCCCTATCCTTTTCTTTTTCGGCTTAAGAGCTACCTCATTCTCTAACCAACCAAGGGTAAATATTTTTGACCTATTAAAAACTAGAGGAACCTCAAAGGCCAATACTTTCAGAGTTGCTAGTATTAGTAGATATCTAGCCAAGTAGCTCCTATCCTAAAAGTCTGTAGGTTGTTAAAAAGAGATTGATAGAATTATAGTATTAACTTTCGCTTTTATATATCTTCTTCTTGGCAAGTATCTACCTTTGTAGATGGGAGAGTGAGCTAGTATAGTAGGGATATGACTTATACTTCTTGCTTTGAGATTTAGCTTCCCTATTGGGTTTTAGATAAATAAGGCTTCTAAGCTAGGGGAAACTTGAGCAGCCCAACGTGCAACTACCTTGAAAGGTTCAGAACTTGAGCAATTTTTTTAAATACTTAGGTGGGGTTTAAAAAAAAAAATTTAACCCAATTAAAGATTAGGTAGTGCTTGGATTGAAGATTTCGAGTTTCGAGACCCAACTAGAATCCATACCTAAACATAGTACTAGGTTCCCGCTAATTTAAGTC